AGTATATTTGGGTAATCCCTCAAGGTTTCGAGGATAATCGTAACAATACCAATGCGTCAATAAAGTAACCCTGTTTGATGTATGGTTGTAGAATTTGGCGGATGCAGAACTTTACTTAAATTGTTAAGAAATATATCGTCGATGTTTTTGCAAAACCGCCCATCGACCGGTTGCAAAACCGCCTAAATCGCCGTTGTGGCAAAATGAATAAAAATCGGTAAATCGTTATTAAAACAACAGATTTGTAAAATAATAGCTAGAGAAAATACCGCCTATCATTGCAATGCCTTCAAACAATAAATGGTTTATTAGCTCTCCTGTAAAATTTTAGTGCCGTAAGATAGGCGGTTTTGCAACTGGCCGATGGGCGGTTTTGCAAAAACATCGACTATATATAGAATAAAATTTATATAAAGTAGAAAAGGTTTAGATCCTGTTGCTCTTTAAAAAATGAAGTGTTAGAAATGTTCTACTTTATAGAAAAAAAAATACCTAAATATGTAATCCTTGCATTGCCTCGCGTTCTTATTTTGCATGAATAGAAAACATTTAAGTCAAACAATTAATGTCAGAAACGAAAATAAAAAATTCAATCTAATACGGAAAATTTGCTTTTGCCCCGATTTTTGCAGCGATTAAGTCCTGAATCGAGTTTTGGAGCTCCGAACACTGTTCTCTGCATTTGTACTGTTTTATAAACCTCAAACCGCAGTGTGGACAGCAATAGTTAGTGATGTGGTTAAGTTCGATTTGAGATGGTTAACTTTTTGGTGGGGACTTGGTATTAAGAAAGTTCATAATTTCGGAAATTGTCCATTGATTTTTATAAGTAGCACCTGGTTCTACTCGGAATTGCACATTCTTTTCGAAGTAATGATCTTTCAGACTATTTTGTTTTGAAATTTTGTACAAAATGTTGTAGAAGTGGGAAAAGTAATAAAAATTTGTGTTGACTTCAGACTTATTTCAAAAACTTTCAACACATTTAAAATGTGCTCACAAAACTTATTTATTCTTTAAAAAGTACAAACATTTTACCTCCTAAAGACTATTAAACTTAAAATTGGGTAAAAATTAACAGCTGAAAATTTTTTAGTGCGGGAAGTCATGTAAAAATGTTTGTTTTTTTGTTAAAAAGTCGAGAATTTGAGGGTGTTAAAAAATTGTAAATGTAAAGTTTCGTGAATTACTTGATCAGCCCTGCGACGTATACTAGGTCACTTAAGAAGTTCACGATCAGTGTAACACCTTGTGATTAAACATAAGTGGCAAACAATATCACTTCTAAATGAGGGTGCTATAGATTTGGCCAATACTGTATAATTTGCTTCAAATTAAATTTTTAACGGATTTTACAACATTTACGTGATAAATAAAATAGATCTCCGAATGAACGAAAGGAATTTTACTGTACCGGATTTTTTAGGAAAGGTGGTCACCTTAGACATACGCGTTGCCCAGAAGCATGTCCACTTAGGGACATTTCAGCAAATTCTATAGCAACAACATTTGTTCAAAATTTCTTTATATAACAGTAGATCAAGGATCACAATTTACATCAAAATTGTTTACAGAATTAACTAAATTGTTAGGATAACACAAAATTCATACGTCTCCATATCATCCCCAACCAAACGGGATGATTGACAGGCAATAGCTGTCCGGTCAGGCGATGTCGAGCTCGAAATATTCAACGTTTATATACCCCCTGTCACCTGCTGCCCGGCAGGATATCCCCCTGACATAGGTGCGCTATTCAGAGGTGAAAACCGAATGGTAGTAGGTGACTTCAACGCGCACCACGATCTCTGGCACTCAAGCCTGGCCAATGATCGTAGGGGAAACCTTTTGGCTGAGCAGATAGACGATTCGACATTCTGCACCATGAACGACTGCGCCCCCACCAGGATTATGGGTAGCTGCAGCAACTCGCCAGACCTCACAATTGCTAGCGCTGGTTTGATCAATAGCATTTCATGGCGACCTATGCTAACACTAGCATCAGACCATCTACCCATAATCATCTCGATCAATAAGCCCACCGACTTTGCTCCCGCGGACCACCGAAGCTACTCCAACTTCAACAAAGCTGTTTGGGAAGGCTTCGCGGAAGTCACCGAGAGCAGCTTCGCCGCCCTTCCCACACCCACAAACATACATACTGGCGAACGCCAGTTCCGCAGGGTAGTCACTGCCGCAGCGGCTCGTTTCATCCCGTCTGGACGTATCGCGGAAGTCCGCCCAAATTTCCCGGCCGAAGCAGCTGTACTAGCAAATGAGCGTGACCACCTACGCCAGGTCGACCCCGGGGACCCTCGTCTGAGGGACCTTAATTTGGAGATTCGGCAACTGGTAAATCAGCATAAGCGGAAAAAGTGGGAGGAGCACTTTTAGGCCTGTAACTTCACATCTGGTGTGAGTAAGCTCTGGTCAACCGTGAGGTCCCTGTCCAACCCAACGAAGCGTGATGACAGAGTGGAAATCTCTTTCGAAGGTCGCGCTTCGTCGGACCCGAAGAAATGCGCAGCCTACTTTAGTAGGCAATTCACACTGCACCCTCCGGTAGACAGGGCCAAACGTCGAGTGGCCAGGAGGCTGCACAAGCTGCCAAAAAACAGTGCACCACTTGTTTTCACCAGCTGTGAAGTGGAGGGGGCCATCGGTAAGGCGAAAGCCTCCAAAGCCATTGGACCCGACGGAATCTGTATGCTGATGCTAAAACATTTAGGGCCTAAGGGAGTAGCTTACCTAACGGAGGTCCTCAACCTGTCCATGGCCACTCTCATCATTCCTGATGTGTGGAAATCAGGGAGAGCGGTCCCACTGCTGAAACCGGGGAAGCTCGCCAATAAAGGAGACTCTTATCGCCCGATAACGCTCCTTTCCCCGGTCGCGAAGACACTTGAGGCCCTACTACTCCCATACTTCACCTGTCACCTGACCCCAGCGAAGCACCCGCACGGATTCCGTAAAGTGCACAGCACAACAACAGCACTTAACGCCATAAACACCCAAATAACTTGTGGCCTAAATCGAAACCGCCCCTGTGAGAGAACGGTCCTAGTAGCGCGGGACTTGTCAAAGGCGTTTGACACCGTCTGCCATTCCACGCTACTAGAAGACATCGAGGCCTCCTCACTCCCACGGGGACTGAAGCGATGGTCGGCGAACTATATGTGTGGTTGACAGTCGTCAGTAATCTTCCGAGATCAAGCCTCGAAACCAAGAAGGATTAAACAAGGGGTTCCACAAGGTGGTGTTCTCTCCCCCTTACTATTTAACTTCTACATCTCATACGCTGACGATGGCTCGATTTTGGCGTCCGGGAATGGAATTGATGACCTCTGCTCAAAAGTGAACGACTATCTCTCCAGCCTTTCTCGCTTCTTCACTGCAAGGAGCCTAAAACTCTCCCCAACGAAATCAACGGCGACCCTCTTCACCACCTGGACGAAGGAGGTCAGGCTTGAGTTAGGCATACACGTCGATGGCACACCAAACTGTAAACAACCTAAAAATTTTAGGGGTCACCTTCGATAGCCTGCTCTCCTACTCCACGCACACAACCGCAGTTGTCAATAAAGTGCAGAGCCGCAACAAGGTCCTCAAGTCGCTCGCCGGCAGCACTTGGGGCAAAGACAAAGAAACGTTGCTGGCAACATACAAGGCAATTGGCCGGCCGGTTCTAAACTATGCTGCGCCAGTTTGGACGATGCTACAGACTTGTCAGAACGCCGCATGAAAAATGTTGTATGTAGTAAACCTTACCCTGGCATTCAGTAAGCGGTCTCTAGTCACTAATAGTGACTTTTGGTGGTGTTGGATTTTGAGGCTATTTGGTATTCAGTACGCTGTCTCACGTCTCTAGTCTCAAAAATAAGTCACTAATTTGTCAACTGGCTAAGAGCCGGTCACAAAAATAGAAGTATGGAGGAAAAGCTTATTTTTTTCCATTTTATTAAAAAAAAACCCGAAAATGAAGCAAGGAAATTTGTTCAACAATAATTTCATTAGGAAATAAACCAAAATGCTTTAAAAAAATAAAACTAGTAAAAAAATACTAAATAAAAAAAAAATAAAAAATCCTCTACGGCCGAGGAGGACTTGAACCCGGACCTTCGCTTGCCAGCCTAATGCTTTGACCACTCGGCCATTGCGACTCTTTGAGCGGCGCGGGCAAAAGGCATACATAAACACTATCAGTTGATTGTCTGTGTTTGCTTTCACCACACATTTTTGGTGAACTTTTTGTGACTCTCTATTTCTGAATACCCAAATCGTCTCAAGTCAAGACAAACTTTTGTTTGCCAAATTAAATGGCGGCTGCTTAGTTTGCTCGGAGGTGGTTATGTCGAGTTTGGCACAGGGTTGCACGTTCATTATGGTTTTCATGGCTTTTGCTAACAACAAATGAGAATTTCAGATGTACATAACGCACACAATTAAAAATTTTTGTATATGATAACACCGAATTTGCTGCAGTTTGACCAAACAAAATTAGTTTGCTGTGAGAGTCGCCAAACTCGCTCTCTCCGAGTTTGCTGCAACAACAATTGCACACAGTTTGCCAAATAAAATTTATGGGGAAAATTTTAGTTTGGCATCCCCCGCGTACAAAAAAAAGGTGGCTATGGGGGGGTAGGGGGAGTTCTCCTGATTGCAAACATATATACTTTTAGCCGCAGGAGGCTTAAAGTTTTTAAGTTATTTGTTGTTAAAGTTTGTAAATTGAACTAACCTCTCGGCGCTATTTCACACAATAAACACTATATTTATGTAGACACTTTGGCAAAATAGTTGCACTAAAACCCCGAACAATGAAATGTAAACATACTTTTTACATTTATGATGTATTTTTAGTAAATTAAGTAAGTTTTAATAATTATCACGCACTTATATATGTATACGCACATTGTGAATACAGAACCGTTGATTCAACCATGGTTTCACACTGACATTAGAAGAGTGCAGCCACATCTAGGAAAATAACAATAAAAGAGAATAGTTTTTATCGTACCCATTTTCCTGCTCAGCGTTGAATTAGTAGTAAAGGAGGGTATGGCGTTAAATACCCCCAATAAAAAAAAAAACTGCGAAGCGCCGCAGGCGAAAATTTTTGATAAAAAATCGCGCGATTTTTTATTAAAAATTTTAATTATTTATCAAGTATTGATTTTTATGGAAAAAGCGCCGCAGGCGAAAATTTGTAATAAAAAATCGCGCGAGTTTTTATTAAAAATTTTCATTATTTATCAAATTAACGATGTACGTTTTCTACATTTGTGTTATTTGAACTACAATAACACCAGTAAATATTATTTCCACCCGAAAAAAATAATACCGTTATGATCAGGAGTAAGACCCCTATCGATCCTAATATTATTGGCCCGTAGTCATAGTCAAAATAAAGTCGACTTTAAAGTTAGTTGCAGCTTTTTGACATAATTTTCAATGGGATATCTGTCAAAAAAGCTGCAACTAACTTTAAAGTCGACTTTATTTTGACTATGACTACGGGCCAAAGTGTTTATTGTGTGAAATAGCGCAGAGAGGTTAGTTCAATTTACAAACTTTAACAACAAATAACTTAAAAACTAGAAGCCTGCTACGGCTAAAAGTATATATATTTGAAATCAGGAGAACTCCCTCTATCGTTCCATAGCTACCTTAATGCGGAACTCCGGGGATGCCAAACTAAATTGCAGCCAATTTATGCATAACACCAACCGGAACAAATGCACAATACTACCAAATCTCGAAATAAAAAAAAAAAAATAGGATCGATAGAGACCATTGAGGTGAACATAACGGTATATTTATTTTTTTGGGAAACAACAACTACAACAATTATTAAAGGTCAAAGTTCAAATTAAGCATTTTCTCAAATTAATATTTCTCGAAAACCTCTTCAAGGAATTGGACAATTTTGATGTCATTTGGTAGAGAATTTAATTCTCTTTAATTTGATATACATATTTATACATATACCTTTTTATAGTTTTCACGAAAATGGAATTAATGTGGAAAAAAGGTATACAGGGTTTTTGTGTATAAACACCTTTCTCCGTAGGCGCTGAACACCTTTTGCAGAGTACACCTTTCTGCGTAGGCGGCCTTCGGCCGCTCTTATGGATTATAACCCTCAAAAAGTAGAATTCTCTTTCTGTGTTGCGAAGAAAAGGCGCTGAACACCTTTT